GGGATCTTGGGCACACACGCACACGTGCCCAGGGTGAGTTTTAAGCCACCGGGTCCGGGACGTGAACCGCAGTCGACTACATGGGAGTCCAGCCACATAGCCATTACGCTAACTGCTGGTCCCGACAAGGGTTTAGTTTTGACTAAAGGAGCAGACAAGAGAAAGAGAGGCTTCCTTCCAATGTAGGGAAGGACATTTTGTGATAATAGAATTGTTTTTCCAAGGCATACATTATAAATACCTTATCTTGCTTTTTAAAATCAGAACTTTTAAAAAACAGATGCTCAGTGGTCTTCCTATGGTGAGTAAACAGGCAAAAAGAATGCTGTAAACTCAGTATTACAGAAGAAAGCACTTGAAATCACACCTACTTGCATACACACACACACACACACACACATGTGCACTCTCTAAATAAAATACATGTTTTTATGCATTTACATGTGTTTTCTTGTTTTGGTGATAGCATTGAAAATTGAGTGGGTCTTGTTAGATAGCAAGTTTCCATGGAGAAAAATCAGGATTTAAGGACAATCACTATTTGATGATAAGAAAGAATTCACACTAAGGTCATTTCTCCCACCTATACCCTAGTTCTGTCATCAGCTGATTGTGAGCTGGACAGAAAACAGAGGAAACCACATAAAATTATGCATTTCATTAAATTGTGTGACCTTTATAAATCTTTAAAACATTGATTTGGGCTCCGCAAAGAGGTCATTTTATTCTGTTTGAATCAGATCACTAGAGAGGAGCCAGAGGGAAGCTTATTTATTGCCTTATCTACCTGTTTATTTATAAATGGGAAAACTAAGGCCAGAGAAGTCATATAGCTAGCAGCCCCCCCCCATTCCCTCTCTTTTTAATGTCTTTACTGCGCTAGTTTGTTCCATCTCCCCTTTAGAGACCCAAAGCATGAGTCCTGATTTGCATTAATAAATTTCTTCCCTGAGGTCACAGAGTGACTAATGAAGTGAGCTTTGGCCTTAATCTACCCTACCCCTCAGGATTGCTTCTTCCTTGCAGACAATATAATTACAATAAACAGAGAAAAAGAGACTACTGAACACAATTACTGTTTTTGATAACTCATTTCTTTAAATTATTTGATGTAAAATTTTATGTCCAAGTGAAATATAACTTCTTGGGAGTAGAAAAGTCCATTTCCAGTTCTCTGGAAATTCATTCGTGTTACCCAACACTTAACAAATAGATTCTGAGCTGCTTCTAGATTTTTAGCCCTGTTTAGAGTCCTTAGGCTATACCACATCTTAATGTATATTTGTGACAAAGGGATGATCTATTGCTTTCCAGCACCAAATTTTTCTTGAACCAACAGTCTAGTGAAAGTGTCATCTTTTGAAATTGTCTTCCTTAAAATAACAGGCCTAGTTTCTCAATAGCACAAAAAAAAAAAAAAAAAAAAATTTGTTTTATTGGTCAAATTGCATGAAATTTGGCACAATACTGCCGCCTTGTGGCTCCTGCAATTAGAGAACCATGTGTACCTCAAGGTCAACCCTGTCCATTAAGATAAAGATTTATAGAAAAATTATCCTGTCTTTCAGTGCAATCCTTTGACACAAAATTATCTCATGAGGAAATATTTAAAATATGATTCCTTCTTATTTTGTAACAGAATGACTGGAAGGCCTCCATTGCATTTGTGGTTGGGAAACGGATTGAAGATGACCTTCTCATTCAAGCCCTCACCCTGGCTGTCCAGGTCCCTCAGCGTAAACTCTTCAGTATCGTATCATGGCAAGACATTCTCCAACAGGTACTTGTCCCTTCCTACCTCAAAGCACCTTGCACACAGTTTTACTTAAAATAATAGAATAAAATTACAACCTAAAGTCATATTCTTAGCCTGCTTTGTAATTTTTTGTGAATTATCTAAAAAAAGAAATTTAGCTAGAGTAATTTGAATTGTTTAATCTGAAAGAATTCCTTTTTGATCATTAATGGTGCCTATTTAACATCCATTCATTTGACAAAGACTTCTGTGGCCATATCAGGCTTTATGGTAGGTTCAGTGAGGAATTATTTAATAAAAGATGAAATAATATTAAAAGACTATTTGAGACTAGTTAAGGTTTCATGGAAGTACATTACTAATTGGTAAATGAAGTTTACAGAGAATCATAGCTGTCAGAGGTCAGTAGAGGAACAATAACGTAACAAAGCCCTGTCAGATGGCGCACGCCCAGATGATGACTAACAGCTTAGCCAAAATGACTATATGTATTTCACCTATTTGATGAGTACCTCTTTCTTGGTAGGTTCCCCAACCCCCTCAAGCCACCTAGGTATTTGAAAGTTACATGAATCTATGTAAGTATTCTTTAAGTCTTTCTTTTTCATTAGAAATAAACTTCATTTTCTTACAGATCAATGAAATAGATACTCTTATTGGACATGTTTCATCTAAAAAAGGGAAAAAAAACATAGGCAGTAATGCTCCCTTATTTTATGAGGTAAGTGAAAGTGCTTATAAAAGAGATTTTTTTCTAATTCTTAAAAAATAAAAATTGATGTAATAATGTGGTCGTCATATTTTTAATTTAATTCGTTTCTTGAAAAGTAAATTCCTGTTCTTCATTGGAGATGTTTGTTCCTAATAAAGGGCACAGAGCAATAGCCTTCTTTTTAAGAAAATCTGCTTTAGGTATAAAATTGTCCCAGATTATTTCTACCATGCATCTAATTGAAAACTATAACTGAGAAACATTAATATATAAAATAGTTAGCTCAAACTTTCTCATGGTAATTAGTGAGTATGTGAGGTATTAGAGGCAGTCATATTATTAGTGTATTAAAATGTGTTAGATTCACCCCCCCAAAAAAAAAAAAGTCCCAGAAAGCATTTCTTGTATAAGACAGAGGCACAGCTAGAATCATTTTCTATTGGTTTGGGAACTTTGTGCACAGTTAACGTCTCACTTCAATCAATATGGAAATAATGGTACCTTCAGACTAATGGTCCACTCCATTTCTAGCCACTGCTTAAAACAAAGCCTGCCTTGGCTGACCCAGTGAGCTCATGTAAAGGACTTAGAACTCATGCTCAGTATGAGGGGATTTCCTCACACCCTGCCTTGTTAATATCTTACAGCTTACAAGACTATAAAAAATCCAGTGATTAATTAGAATATCACTTAAAATTTGTCAGGCACTGTTTTATGGCTCACCAGATATAAAACATAAAGATTTTTGGGTCTTTTTAAGACAAACTTGTTTTCACTTTATTCCAGTGATGACTAGTAAAGTTTTTATGCGTCTCAGGTCCTGGGATGATTCCATAAGGGTCTCTTTAGAGTTGTCTAAATACTATCAGAACGAGTTTCATTGGATGTATTCACAATTGGCAGTACTGTGAATTTTATAGCATTAACTCATGTTACATTGCTCTCACTGTCATGGCAAACTTATTCTGAGCTGTTGGAGTCAAATACCACACTTTTATTTTTTTTGTTATGATATCCTGGATATATGTGCTCCAGTTGAAACATTACGTGACACCTGGATTTAAAGTACTGGAATTTTTCTTCTGAAGTGGCCATAGAAATCCATGGCCAATTCTCAGGTCTGGGATCAATTAGCCCCCCAAAGGATTCTTTCTTCTTCAAAGATGCTCAGTAAAAATCAGAGATGATAACAGACCGGTTTTGACATCTAATATGGACAGGCATTTTGACTTGGATGTGGGATAGCACCATGCTACAAATTCAGGGGTACGTTAGAAAGCCATTCCTCTCCAATATGTGCTGTGACTCTTGGTTGCATGTTCTTTGCTCAGGGGAGGTCCATTTCACATCTGGCTCTATCACATTCTTCCAGAGGAGCATTTGGGCAATAAGCCTCCCACACCCACTCACATGCCCTTTTCTGAATGGTTCCAGAAGGAAAGGGAAGGCAGGGTGGAGACCATGAAGACTGGACCTTGGGGGCACCAGACATTCATTAACGTCAAGTGCTATGGCAAAAATGATAAAGAATGTAAAACAAATTCAGGCTTCTGGTGAGCATCAGCCAAGGAGAGGTTGCACATCTGAAGAGGGGCACGTTTTCACTCCGTGCTTATAGCCTGTTCAGGAGGTCTGTCATCTGGTACCTCAAGTGAGTGGTGGCTATGAAAGAGGCCCAGAAGCCAAAATCTTTTGGGACTTCTGGACCTTCAGGGTGTGTGGACAGTCTGCTCATAAGTCTATTTCTGTTTAAGTCTTGTATGGTCTTTAGCAACTAGGATGTTTGCTGTGGGTAAACTCCTTGACAATCTATTTAGGAGGTTTTACATTTTTTTTTTCTCAAAGGAAATGTTATAAGGGGAGGAGGTGGAGAGGAAGACATCATCTAACAACGTTGCTTATGTTACATGGGAAGTACATAAGCAACAATGTGCATGAAGTCTTGTTTTGTTTTAGACCTCCATTTTGAAAGGAGAACTCAACATGTCATAAAGGCCATACACTTAAACACTTACACTTCTGCTGGTAGGTTATGCTCATTGGCCTTAAATCAGAGCCCAGTCATTCTTACTTTAAGTATAATTCTACCCAATTTGACTTTCTGGTTTCTTAGCCTGAAGTTGATTAGAAGCAGCAAATTAAAGTGTGACTTCACTATAGTGCAGTTCATCCGTGAGTAGTAAAACAATGTCAGAACCGCCTTACATATTTCCAGCAACGACTTGAAATGTCTGGACCAGCAGAGACCACATTCCTAAGTGATTTGCTCAAGTTTTCATTTGGATGGCTTGGTGTTGTGTACACACAGCCTCATTTTGGAATTGTGTAATTTCCCTTGAAACCTTAGAATTTCATCTAGCCATGATATTGTATATATGAGAGAGTCTTTATTTATAAACCATAGTTCTTTGAAAACCTGCTTAGATTTGTGCTAATGTAATTCCACAGAAATGCAGGCTATAGCTCATTTATCCATTCACCTTCCCTTTTTGGAAACAACATTTTTCTCTGGTAGAAACTATCTCAAGGTCTCAGGTGAGAATCGGAAGACAATA